ATTGATTCTCTGTGGCTCCTAAACAAATTGCCACCAACACTCAATTGATTAAAACAACACATCTATTTTATCTCACAAGTTCTATTAACCAAGAATCCAGGGGCAGCTTAGCTGGGTGCTTCGGACTCAGGGTCTCTCAGAAAGGGTCAGCTGGGGGCCACCAGCAGCTCCAGGGTCACTCGGGGGCGGGGGCTGCTGGCAGGCTCGGCTTCTCGCTGACTATGGGCTGGAGACAAACATTTCTCCCAAGGGGCCTCTCCACAGGGCAGCTCACGGCATGGCAGCTGGATTCCCCAGATTGAGGGAGGGAGTGAGGGCACCCAGGATGGAAGCCACAGCCTTTCTGACCCATCCCTTCTGCACTCTGCTTCTTAGAAGTGAGTCAGGGATGACACAGGCTGTGAACACCAGGAGGTGGGGGACTTTGTAGAAATCGTCTTTCTGAGCTCATTTTTATGTCCCAGAATATTCTTTGCTTTACAAAACTATTTATATTTCAACCACCCCTCAGGTAAAACTAGCACCCTACCTGTGTTTAGCAACTTTCATGAACTTTCTTTTCACTGTACATTTTCATATATATATATATACACACACACACACACACACACACACACACACATATATATCTCAGTGCTAAAATGCTATCTTCATACTGGCTAGAATGCATAAAATATAATAATAAAATAAAACCAAATGACAGGAATAAGCCACTTTATTACATTTATACAAGCACTACTTGGCAAAAATTGTCTATAATGATGTAATGGATTAGAAATACCTTAGTAGCCACCTGCCCCATGTGCATACCTGTCCCCTCCTAAGTGACGTCTCATTAATGTTCCCAATTAGCCAAGAACACTTACTGGCTCTGTACTAGGAACAGAGTCCTCCATTCTGCTGCACACACAGTAAGTAAAGTTGTTGGTGCCGCCCAAATCTTTAGAGTCCAACTGATAAGGCTGAAATAGCTGAACCTCATAGGGTCTAACGGGGAGAGGCAGTATGGGTACACCTGCCTCTTTAAAGCCATTTGAACAGGGCCCTGGGTCCCAGAGACCTGGCTTCAAAGGTCCGCTCTCTCGGGGCAAGTTCTTGGGCAAGTGCTCTTGTCTGGAAATAGGTATAACAATGCCAACCCACCCGACAGGACAACTACGAGGAAAGGCAGCTTAGCCACGTGGTTTAGGCACATGGATTGCAAAGCCAGGCTGCTTGGGTTCAATTCTTGGCTCTACCTCTTACTGTGGGGAAGCTCTTAACTTCTCTGCCTCAGTTTTCCCATCTGACAAGTGGACAGAATGATGGCACCTACCTCCTAGGGCTGGTGGGAGGATCAAGTGAGTTAATATGTACAAAACACTTAGAACAGTACTTGGCATTTGGTAAGTGTTACATGAATAGGGATACATGAGGCCATTTGTGTGAAGCCCTTTTTTTATGGTAAATCTTTTTATTGTTGGCTTCATCAGAAAAACTTGTATTACAGGCAATTTCTGCTGCATAATTTTAGTAAAGCCAGAGATGATCATTTCTTCTAGAAAAACAAACCTCTGCGGTTAGAAAGGAAGACAAAAAACAGATTTCGTTTTATGATCTACCTTTATCAAGCCATCCAGAGCACATCAGTTCCTTTATGTTATTACTTTAACGTTATTTAACAAGTCATTATAGAAAACACACAAGCCAAAAGCCTTCTATCCTTAATCTTCTAGTCAATCACCAAATTTCCCTAGATTTTTAAAGACATGAAAGTAAACTCATTTCAAATAACAGCACCTCAAACACCATATACGTTTGTAATGCGGTGCTCCAGCCAATTTTAAGCCTCGTGTTTTCCAGGTTTTAGCTGAAAAACCCCTCACTTAGGTTTTTATCAGTGTCATTGGGGGCTATTTTGTCTTACTAAACAAAGCACAATGTTAAACCAATTAATGATCTAGTCTAAGAAGATGGCCTAAGTGACACATTGTGTAAAGCCCTTAGCATAGCATCTGGCATAAAGGAAGGAAATACATTAGTCTCAATTTTTCAACCTTTCATTGTCTTATAGAGCTCTTGAGATAATAAAACAAAATAAAATAAAGCACTTAATGGTTTGCTGTGCCAGGATAAACATGACTATTAAGGTTTAGCTCATCCGGCTGCTGTGTCGAATAAGGGGCAGCTACTATTATTATGAATATTCACCAGCAACTGTCCAGGTCCCGATACATGGGGGCTGGGAATGCCAGATAACTCCGTGCAAAACCTCTCTCAAGCCAGGAGGTCAATATCCCAGCTCCCCGCGAGCGCCGTGCCCTGGGGTGACTACAAGATGTTCCTTTCAGCCCGGGCAGTGCTCTCTGGAGTTCCTCCGGGGCTCTGTATGTGCAGGGACTTCTGGGTCTGAGAATGGTTTCTTCTGGTTTCTGCTTGGTATTTTAATGGGCACATTAAAGTTTCTTATCTACTTGTCTTTTGTGTTTTTAATAATACCCCTTTGTGGCTGCAGGCGGAGCGCAGAGAGAATGTGCTAGAAAGCTAGCGGGGAGAAATGCCACAGACACACTGGGAGCCTGTGGCTCCGGGATCATCCGGTTCCGAGCGGAGGGAGCTGGCCGTCTACCCTGAGAGCAGTTTCCAGAAGGCCTGGCTCACGGGGGGAACGAGGAGGGGAGCCTCGGGGGCACCCAAAGGCCTCACTCAAATGCTCTTGTTCTGCTTTCTCAAGGGCCACCACTGTGCCTTATCCTCTCCCGAGAGCCCTGCTCAAGAGCACTCCATGTCTTGGGCCTTTCCTGCAAGGCCAAGAGGGGTCATTCATAGGTGGCATCAGCTTGGGTAGAAAAGAACGCATTTCTCAGAAACATAACCCTGCCTGTGACCCTGCTAACGACAGCCACAGACCGAGGGGAAAGAAAAGCATCTTAGAGCTGCTTCTGGGAAGCAGATCGCCCCCTGACCTCCTCCCCAGAGCCGAGCTCCGACGATCAGACTGAAGGCAAACAACAAAACAGGACAGTGGGGAGACACCGTTTCATGACTAACACAGCATAAAAGAAAATATACAAACAGCTCTCTGAGCTTTCAAAATAAATACGACTAGGACCACGTATTACTCAGAGGGTTTCGTTTTTATTAGGAATACCAACCTTAGTGACTATCCCTGTCCCACCCTAATGTTGAGCTCGTGAGAGATGCACTATTTCTGATCCCCTTCAACTCCAGTTGAAATTCTCCTTTTTTTGGGGTCCCTGTTTCACTGTTGTACCTGGAGGCTTTGGAGAAGTCTCGGCAGAGTTCGCTTGGCAATATTTTTATGTATCTTAAATCAAGTTCATTTCATAAAAGTCCTAACTTTCATCACCTTTCAAATTGCATTAGCTCGGCTTTAAACTCCTGAGTCGGAGAATCTCAGTGGTAAAGGCGAAGTTCCTGGTCTCTGTTATCGACTCCCTGCTTGGGGATTACTCGTGTTTTTTCATGTGGGATATAAACATATCCGGATAATTCTCTTGAGCTTCACTTGTTGAAATTTGACATTGGTCCTATCACTCAATTATGGCTGAGCTCCCAGAAAGCTTTCCTGGCACCTCTCTCATGGCTGCCTGGCCGCCCCCACCAGTGCACACGCTCATTCCTGGTCCCAATGTTCCCTTTAGAAGGAGGCAAAGCTAATAACAAAACACAGATTAGGGACACTCTGTCTCTAAAGACTATCTCAGACTTGTGTGGCTTGGGGCTGTGAGCCACAGAGGTCAAAAGATCAGATATTTGGGGTTTTCTGTCCTCATTAGGTAGGGTTTACGACTGCCTCTCTCATCCCACCTCCTGGCGACTCCCCGCACCCAACATTTTAGCTTTCCTCAATGTCAGCGTGTCCTAGGGATCCCGTCTGTCTCCCAAGGTTGCCGAAACAGGAACCGTTGCCTTCTTCCTTAAAAACTCCACAGTTGCATATAGAAATAGCAGATGGAATTAGTGGGAAAGACCTGTGTGTGTGTGTGTGTGTGTGTGTGTGTGTCCTCATGTGAGATATTTGCAACCTGCAAGGATCAGACCCTGGTCCTAGCCGTCAATTTCACTTCATGTTAGAATCCTTGCTCTACTACCATTGAGTATTTTCTCTTTCTTTGTGAATAACCAACCAGATTGTATCTGGTAAATGTATAAAACCTAGCTCTTAAGGGATTTTTCTTAAAAAAAAAATGTGCTTCTTTGTACCGTTTGCTGGTTTCCTTGGTATAAAGACTCCCAGCACGGTTGATTTTGAGATACTAAAGTCACTGAACAAGGACTTGGGACAAAATGCACACCAGCACAGGGGAATGGAGAAGGCCTGGAAAGATTTATAGAGCAAGCAGTTCTTGCACTTGAATATGAATAACCAACCGGACTGTATCTGGTAAATGTATAAAATCTAGCTCTTCAGGGATTTTTTTTTAATGTGCTTCTTTGTACCATTTGCCAGTTTCCTTGGTATAAAGACTCCCAGCATGGTTGATTTTGAGATACCAAAGTCACTGAACAAGGACTTGGGAAGAAATGCACACCTGCACAGGGGGATGGAGAAGGCCGGGAAAGATTTATAGAGCAAGCAGTTCTTGCACTTGAATCTAGACAGATGAGCGGATATTTTCGGAATGGATACAGTCATGGGGAAGAAGGCAAGTGCGAACAACTTGGGTCACTGTCTGAGTGCATATGTGACAGTGGGGGCGTGCACTGGTGTGTGTGGTGTGTGCAGGGATGCGCTGGGGGAAGGATGCTCTCACATGGGCCATCTGTGGCTCCGGCAATGAGCCTTCATCATCTCCCTGATGCCCTGGATTAAATGTAGCATCTGTGGTCCTCTCAGGACTATTGGCTCCAAACTGGGAAGAAGCTCCTCTCCAACTGGACTCCTTGCAAAATAGAGTTGTTTCAAATAATCCTTTGGTTACAATAGCCAGTGTCACAGTGAAAGAGTCATGACTCTAGGAGCCAACATCAATACATTATTATTATTGCAGAGAACGGTCATACAACAGCACGCAGCCGCGCCAAGGAAAAAGGGGGTGTCAGGCTGGGAGGCTGTTAAAGGTCATGCTGGGATTTGGTCTGCAGAGGAAGTGGAGAAAGTTTAAAGGCGAAGAGTGATGCATGGATGTGCGTCAAAATAAGAGCTCTGTGTAACAAGGACTATTCAGAGCAGCCTAATTACCAACTGTCCCCATCACATCAGCTTGCCCTCCAAAGGCTGCATTTCCGTTGTTGCCTCCAAGGGCAATTCAAAGTCTTGCTTCAAGGCAAGAAGCTTTTTTATTCTGAACCTGAGCACTGGTAGGTCTCATCTCTCTCGGTGAAATCAACAAGTACTGACTGAGTGCCATCTCAGCCCATGATACCAGGCTGTCCTCATATTCCTGGCAGAGCACCCCAGGGCTCTGAATGCCCTCTCTCACCTGCTCTCGCTGGCTTCTTCAGGAAGGAAGGAAAAGGATGTCATCTCTAGAGATTTCTCATCAGCTCATTCCCCTCCCGCTTCTTGACCTACAGGGCAGGCTCCAGGGTCTAGAGATTCCCAGACACTCCATTTCTCTGGCTTCTTTCTCTTTTATGAGGATTTTATCTTCTAGCTTCTGTCATTCACTTAACTGTTGTTTGTATGATTTAACTATATTTAAACATATAATTTAACATAACTAGATACAAAATACTATAAATATAACTATAACTGAGTTAACGATATTTTATAATATGGACATGGTCTGAAGGCCTTTGGGTAATGGGCACTTTAAAAATGAACCCGAAAAAGTCACCACAAATCAAGAGCACAAATTGAGTTTCTACTTAAATTCTCTTAAAACACACACACACACACACACACACACACACGAGTTTGCTTTTTTTTTTTTTAAACTATGGGAAAAAATGCTAATTTTCTTGCACAGGAAACTTTAACAATCCAATTACAGTGAATAGTAAAAATAGTTTCCTAGTGGGAATACATTAAGAATTGAAATAAGACCCCACTGGTAATACCAAATATCAGCTAAGATTATATGGATAATAATTAAGACAGAAATGTCCTAATAAGAGGCAGAAATAAGAATTGGGAAGTCCTTTATTACCTGTCATCATTTTGCTGCCTGGTCCATGTTGTTTAAATAATGTTATACCAGGATAAACATGAGATTAAGGCTTATGTCATCCTGCTGTTGCTTCCAACAGACAAGCTTTAAAATGCAGTTTCCCCTTTAGTCACTAAGTAGTTGACTATCTACTCAGAAACTCTCTGATAGCCAAGTATGCCCATTAGGAGACACTGCTGCCCTAGCACAGTGAAGGGTATATTATTATAAATAAAATATATAGGATTACAATTAAAAATAGGTAAATAAAAGTTTAAATGCCACAAAATGGGTTCAAAAGGAGTCTCTGAATGAATGGAAGGCAACCCCTACTGAAACCTCAGGCTCTGAAGACTGCTCCTTTTATGAGAGCATCCTGGTCATCTAGTTTCAACCACTTTAAGCCAAACCTCATCCCACAAGCAGGAGAATGAAGATGGGACCGAAGTCACTCTCTAGAGCTCTGAGCCCTGGGGCTGAGCCTGACCCCAACCCCTTGGTGCCTTAGGGCTCATCTCTCCCCATCTCACCTGACCTGGGGGAATGGCAGGGCCAAGTCTTGGGGACACAACACTCAGAGAGAGGTGACCACATGGAGCAGCAGGACACATGGCATCGTCAGAGAGCAGCCCCTTACCAGCCGAGTGAGCTGGTGGGCTGTTTAACCTCTCTGACCTGTTTCCTCATCTGGAAAATGGAGCTGATCAGACTTGTCTTACAAACTCATTTGAAGCCTTACATTAAATAGGGGTAGAAAGTGTCTGGCCAGAGTAGACCCCAGTCAATAGCGGCTCTCATCAGACCTCAAAACGACTGAAAATGGAGTTCTTTTTCTCCCCTCGCCACAACTTCTAACCCTCCACCCAAA